CCTTTTGTATGGTTTTCTAGCTTTTTTAATAAAAGAACTCTTGTTCTAATTAACTATATCATTTTTATGTTATGGTTCTAAGTTGTTGTTCTTTTTTTTTTTTTTTGTTTAACGGTCTCCGTCAAAGTATGATCTAACTTTGGGTATTCATGGCTAGTCTGACCCCCAAAAAGTTATCAATATTCAAATTCACTACGTCTGTTTTTATTATCCATTTGGGGTTATGGTTCTGTGTTGTTCACTAGACCTGAGCGTGTGCCTATTTTTTGTAAAATTAGTTTTAGGGGTTTAGGAAATTCCATAGTCTTCTGTCACTTTAATCTGGCTTAGTTCTGAATTGGGTCTAAGAAAGATTTTCACACGGTGGTGGTTATACGAAGGATGCCCACTTTGAACTTATAACCTCATGGTTTAGGCAATACTTCAATTTCTCAGCCTTAAGTAGATTAGCCCCTGGTGTAGTCACATTAATACCTGTTTGTTTTATGCGAAACTTTTCCAGACTGATGATACTAATATTCCGTATAAAAGTTTATCAAAGATATTAGTAGGATTCAGTTGTGATGGGTCATAATTTATTATGTTTAAACATTGTTAAAGCTTTGGAACATTGGCGTTACTAGTTCAGTGTGGGTTGTGGAATTGCTGTAGTTTTTTTTTTGTTAGGCAATGGCTCATTATAGCATCCATGATCCTAGGCGGTATTAAAGGCCATCTAATTAAATAATTAATGATTTATGTTATATATATATATTTTATGTGAGGAGGATTAGTGTGGTTATTGTGTTAAAACATAAAGCATTGATGTGAATTTTTTGTTGATGTAAAAAGTTTCCATTGATAAAATTGATATTTTGATGTTTGAGATCTTAATTATTTCTTGAATTCTAGCTTTTCAATTTTAAACCAAATTCCAAGATGCATGAACTACTTTATTTATTCGTGGTCAGTTGGAACATGAGGCTAGAACTGCTACAACTGTAGTTACATCCCCGTATAATGGGGCAGCTTTTACCCATCAAAAGAAAAGAAAAATGAAAGAGAGAGCATTTGCATCATATGCTCACAATGTTAGAACCATCTTATGTAAAATCAAATAGGAAACCATTTCGTATGGACTCTCTACAATATTGCTTTACATTCATATTGTGACTATGATTGCAGGCAAGAGCAATTTGAACAGTCTGCTGCAGGAAGAGCTGCGCGTGCACAGGTTGCCGCAGCTGCAAAACAATCTGCAAACGCTAACAAGGGTGAACCAGTTCTTAAGGTAATATTGGAGACATAGTTATCAAATCGTGTATCGAAAGACGTATCGTTTTTAAAAATAGTGTATCGTATCGTGCATCGTATCGTGTATCGTAAGATACGGCGTAATTTTAAATAATTAATTGTAAAATATATATGCTTTTGAAAATAAATCATAGACTTATAAAAATATAACATTTCATTAATATTCTACTTACTATTCAAGTCACCAATATAATTTACTAATATTAAAAAAATAATAAAGGGTATCAAATTAAATTAATGATACTTATATATACTTAAAAATAAAAAGTTATAATGTAGGGGGTATTAAATGTAATTCTTCATTCTTATAACCACAGTCGTGAGTCTACTCAGTAGCCACGACTCACGAACGAACACAGAGAGCCAGAGAGAAGAGCAAAAGACGATCGGCGATTGCGATGCCGATGCCGGTGGAGAGAGAGAGCGAGAGAGAGAGAGAAAGAGAGAAAAAGAAGAAGACGAACAGTGGTACCTAGGGTTTCATCCGAAATTTACAAGTTAGTATTGCTATTTTTTTCAATTTCAAATATTTGTTTGATTTGTTTTTGCTTTTGTTGATTTGTTGCCTGGTAATTCTTGTCTTCTTCATCTCTGTTGCCTTTTTTTTGACATTTTCTCTATTCTCTGATTTGTGGGCTTCGGTGTCTTCATCTCTGGTGCGAATCAGGCTATCAAAAAAAAATAAAATTAAACACGACTTCGCATATCGGTACGATATGTATCGTGTATTGGACGATATAATGCAAAAAGGATACATAACTACGATCCGTATCGGTTTAGGCCTATATTGTGATGTATCGTACGATACGTATCGCGTATCGTACGATACTAACAACTATAATTAGAGGGTTATATCATTTAGTCGTTGCTAGTAGTGCTAAATGATGTTGTACGCCAGCTAACCTCTTATTGTGAATTTTTTAGGGAAATTGATCTACATAACTGAGGCAGTAAATTTTTTCTGTTTATGATTCCACTAGGTGTAACCCGTGCATAAGGTACGGTGTAATGTGAATGATTTTGAGAGGGATGTTGGTGATCGTTGAACGAGTCTATTTGAGACCATCGAATGGTCTTATTGAAGTCTGTCCTATTTTATATTATAGACTTAGAACCTATGCTTTTTATTTTGATTCTTTGAATTGAAATCTTTAGATGGGTTACCATGCAGTATTTACAAAAATGGTATTGATGCAATTGTGGTTAAAAATCAGAAAATGATACTTGAATTGACCATTTTATGGTCATTAATGTGAATGCAGTGGCAGATGGGATGACGCAGGCTTAGCTTTTTAAAGCTCAACTCTGGCCATTAACAGTAAGTATGCATTTTGATATTGTAATTTTCAGTCAACTAATCTTTAATTTATGTTGTGGTTATATTCGATCATGCTTTTTTTTGACATGTACATTTGGTATTGATTTCCAGTTTGTTACGTATATTCTATAATTCAGCTCTGTATGACATTTAACATTACCACAACTCTGCCATTCTGTATGTTGTTCATTGATTATCAGCATCACGTTTGATTAATACACTTGTAGCAGCTTTTGTTGAGTATGATATAAGGCTGGTAATAAATTGAGTTGTGTTGTTGAATATTTGCTACAAGTATATTTGTCCGAAATTACTACAGAAGTTAGAAATAGTCAAATGTACGCCCAACAGATTAGTAGGGAGCGGTTTGCTATTAGGTCTGCTCATTATTCATCTTGTTGCGTGCAGAATAAATGAAAGGATTAGCCATGATCTCTTCTGTTGCAGATCTGTCTCATTTCAAAAGCAGACAGTTGGAATTTTTGGAGCAGGATACCCTCATGTTTTAGGTCTTCTCTAGATTAATTATCACTTAAGGAGAACTTGAAATGTATACTTATGCTTGTCTTCTCTCTTTCTCATGGTGGCCAATGTTTCTTTTGTTTTTGTTTTTTTTTGTTCTTTTAAATCTCTTTGGGTGATATTTGTAAATCAAAACTGCTATTATCTGTAGCTGTTTTTTTGGCTCTAGCTTATCACGCAATGGTAAATGCCGCTGTACATCTATGTAAATATCGTTTTACTATTAAATTTGTTCGACTTATATTTTATGTTTTCCCTTTTTTATCCTCTTGAGATTGATGTTACAGCAAGACATATATAAGGGCATTTATGCTGTCCTGTCATGCATGACAACCCTTACTCGGACATTCTTTTGACATTAAAAGATGCTTATATGTGAAATAAAACTTTTCCTCTACAGTTATGATTAAATGTTTCTGCACAAACTAAAATATACCATGTTAATTTCGAAAGATATGTCTTCGTGATCGTATTTTAAAGAAATTTGCGACAAGCCCAGATTTGTGGTGAATCATTGTAGGCACTATAGTTCATGCTTCCAAATGAATAAATTGGTTTTATTTGTTTTTTATTTTTTGAAAACCGAGAATTTGACGTACATTTAATCTTTTCCAATACGGTCATTGTAACCACGCAATGTTGATGTTCTGTTTGGTAAGAGGAATGAAAAGTAAGAGAGATAGAAAATAAGAGGGATATACTTTCTATTCTCTATAGAAAGAAAATATGAATGATACATTTTTCTTCCTTTATATTTGATAGGATGGATAAAAAGTAGAAATGATTAATTTTTTTTTGTATTTAGTATTGATGAAAAAAATAGAAGGACAAAAATAATAAACATACATAATTTACTATTTTATCCTTATATGAAATTAGTGAATATATTATTCACTATGTTACTATAGAATAAATGTCGTGTGTTTTTAACAAACACAAATCACATAAAAATACATCTATTTTTTATTTAATTTTAAAAAATAAATAAAAACACACACAGTGTTAACACATAATGTAATTCTACCAATTGATATATGAGTTTGAGTTTATGTGTTTAATATAAATAAATAATTAGTTAAATGTTAAAAAAGTAAATAATATATTTTTATCCAATGTGAGTACTATTTTCCACAGTTTTTTTTCGCCAAATTTTGGAGAGTTTGATTTTGGTGAATTTAAAAGAAAATTCATCCACTTTCTCATTATTCATATTTTTCTTCCTTACAAAAAATGATGATTTTTTTATTCTTCTAACTTTCTATCTTTTTAATTTTTTATAGTATCAAATGGAGCATAATAGATTAAGTTCTTTTCTGGTGAAGATGGTCCAATTCCATTATCAAGTTGCCTTTATGACCCGTCGGCCATTGGAGCAGGACAAATGACTAAAAAGAATCAAATACAAGAACAGATTTGTAGACAATCTTAGGTTTTGATAAATTGTCATTGGATGTGCAACATCAATGATGGGAGCTTAAAATGTCCGGATGTATACACATCATATTGCATATAGTATGGAAACCAGTGGAGACTCGAATTTCATTGCTTATGTGAGTCTCACCTTATAACATGACATAGCATTGAAACATTCATTTCTTAATGTTGTATGTTCTTGGATGAATGCTTGGTTGATTGTTGTATACATGTGAGCATTTCATGTGCATCTGAATTGAGACTCACATAATGTGCATGTGAAGATTTTTGTCAAAATTAATAGAGAATGTAGACAAAAGAGTTGCATCTAGTTATATTGTATAATTTAAGGACTAAATTGACGCAACATAATTTACGAGTTGGATTGACATGAACAGTATAAGTAGTTAACTCAATTGTTTTTCTCAACGCTACAAGATAGCTATGTCAAGTTCCCCATGGTACAAAAACAGTCAACACCAAATTTAGCCTCCCCTTTAAATCTCTTCTGCATTAATGCAACAAGTCAGTCCCTCACCTACTCAAAAAGAATTTACATTAATTTTGAACAAGGTTCACTGAAGTTACAGAGGAAACACAGGAACTCTAAATACAAATTGCAGACATCTACTTCACAAGAAGTAACCCAAGTGTCTTCCCCTGTAGATTGTGTTTCTGGTACATTAACCTTTCAATTCACTGTCTATTAAACACTAGCTGCTTCATGTTGAAGTTATTTGTCGAACTAAGATCTCTGTCACACAAAGCTTTGAACAGGAGCTGACAGCTTAAGCTCATGTGCAGCTTGGAAAAAGTCTGCCGCTTGTTTTATCGAACCTTCCATCTTACAAACTAATCCGAGGTTTAACCATGCATCGTGGTTTGTGGGTTCTAATCGTAAGGCATTCATTAATAAGCTTCTTGCAATCGGGAGTGATTGACCACCCATTTTCATCAACACTTCTGCAGTTGAAACAATACTCGGAACGTAGTCTGGTTCTATTGACAACGAAATTGAGAAGGCAACAAGCGCTTCCTTGTATACTGTTTGAGCTTCAAACAACTTACCTGCATGTGTTTAAGAAATATGTTATGTTACTAAATCGGAAAATTGAATGTATTTGGCAACAAGGACACAGGAAAATGCTTTCAGACCTGTGGTATGCCAACCTCGGGGAGAGTAAAATCCAATTGACCTAGCTTTGTCTATACAAATCTCTGCATCTTGCAATGACTCAAGGTCTGAATAAATCTTTGCTAAATCTAGCCAAGCTTCTCTTTCTGATATTCCTCGAGATAATACCTGTGAAAAGAATAAGGACATCCTGAGACGACTTCAATTTCACAAACGGCTTGAATTTAGAATTGCATGATATAACATAATCGGAGAATTTTGTTATGGGTCATTTCAAATCTAGTCATGTATATACCTGCTAGGACGTATAATCAAAAGTGATATTCTAACAGTGCAATGCAATTTTTCGAACCTCAGAATCCATGTTCTTGGTTAGAAGTTCCCTTTGTTTTTGAACTAGAGCTAGCAAAATTCTGTAGGTCTCTATTGCTTGCTTGGGATGCTCTTGGACAACTTGAAGCACAGCTTTCAACCTAAGAAGTTCCAACTGCTCAATTCCACCAGTCTCATCTAAAGCAAGATCAACAATGGTTTCAGCATCTCTGAATCTTTGCTCTGCTGATACTACTAGAGCTAATAGCTTCCAACCTTTTCCCGAGCTTCCAGCAACACTATGAGAATACATCATTACATTATTGAAGGCAGCAGCCAAATTCCTCTGAATGGAATTTTCTAGTCCTAGACTAAACATAACGTCTGGATCATCTTTTCCACTTTCAGCAGCCTGGTTTAGAGAGTTTAACGATTCTTTATGAAAGAAAACTCTTTCAGAATCTGAAATGGAAATTCTCGCTGCATTTCCATAGCAAACACCAAGGAATTTGTGAGCCTCGGCCATGAAATGTTGATTTTGGTAACTGGATAAATCAATCACTCTAAGAGCAAAATTTATCCCTTCACAAGAATGTTTTGGATCCTGAGAACACAATTTTGCTCCCAACAAAAAAGAAGGCATATGGGATTTATGCTTTGCTTCCGAACACCCTGAGACTTTCTTTAGAAGATTCGAGGCTGTTTCATTCTGACCTGCAGCACTGTAACACAGAGCAAGCAAGAACCACCTCTCAGCTCGGTTATAGGTACCAGGAAGGGCCTGCTCTACATGCTGCGCCAACGTTTCAAATTGGCCAGACATCGACAATACAAAAGCTAAATGATCCATGATTTCTGGATCCCACTCTATTTCTCTATATAGCACCTTTAGCATGAGTACAAACAACAAAAGCATTGCTTCCTCTGTATTACATCTAGCAGATTTTGGACCCCATACTTGTAAATGAGGGGGAAGGCTTGCTTCAACTCCTCCATAGAGTAACGTGGCAGCTAAGTCTTTCTGCACGCTGGCCAACCTTTGGGGATTCAAATTCCAGGGCTTGACTAGAGCCCGTCGATATGCAGTGATAGCTTCATCTAGAAAGCCCGCCCGTACCCATAACTTGGGAAGCAACTCCAGTGCTTTGTGAAACATTTCCTGCAACTTGCAGTCATCACCAATTCCTCCAGCCATTCCATTAGGTAATGCTGCTTCAACTATATCCAGAATTATTTTGCACTCTCTTGCAGCCTCTGATAAATTGAAAATACCAAAACAAACTTTAGAAAGGAGTTGGAAAACTACCCATCCACCGGTGCATAGATCTTCCACAACAAACACTGAACCAGTATAGATTATCCACCAACACAACGTAATCATCATGCATTTCATATCACATGCAAATATTTTAGCAAAGGTTCAACTGAAGAAAACAATAACTTTCGCGATTGACACTATCTCAGCCTATGAAAGAATCTTCATAACATTCTAGCTAGACAATCCTCATAATGTTTTAGCAAACGTGTTTGTAAGATATGCTTTCAATTGAAGAATATGTTTTTGGTAAAAAAATTCAGGAGAGTGGGATACCTTTAACTTGCCCGAGTTCCTCTAATGATTTTGCTTTCAATAAGATTGCTTCGAGAAGCAGGCTCACAGAATGCAATGACATTACACCAGCCAACAGATTTTCATTTTTGGAGCGAGATTTGCGCGGCCGAGTTCTCTCAGTGATAGCCTTAGTCATCCTTGAGGTTAAAGTTTTAATGTCAATCCCTTGGAACACTTGAAGGGCAGCATCAAAATTGCCCCTCTGATATTCAAGCCTACCCAACAATGCTCTGGCTTCCTGCACTTCACAAAACTCCATTTATTCATAAATTGACCCTTTCTAGTTTGGTACAATCAATCACCCAAAAAACTTTTGTATCAACTAATAGGAAAGAAGGAAACGATTGATCCTCTCCGTAGTAACTTGTATCAACAAACTTATGCCAAAAAAAAATGAAGAAAAATATGATTATTGTTGAATTTGGGGAATATGAACTTACCGCGTTCTTCTTTTTGGTGCATTGTTATGAACAGCTCTGGTGCTCCATTTTGGGTCATAAGTGAATGCTATAAAATAAAACCTACAATTCTATACAAGCTTTACCTCGTAGTTCAAGGATAGAGCCTCCTTCAATGTGGACTCGGCTTCATCGACTTGGGCATCTTCGAATTTGGATTCCCAGTCCCCAGTCGCAGTCCCAGTCCTTGAAGAAAGGCCACTTGCAGAGAAATCTCTGGTGGCTAGTGACTGTGGTGACTGAGGTGCTGCCTCTTCAAACTTGAACTGTTCTCCTGAGCAAGCACACAACATCTTCTCCAACAAGAAGCTAAGAAACTTCGACTTTTAAGGGTATCCCCTGAAAATGAATGAAATAAAAACACTCCCCATTAAATATCGCTTATCTTTATTTCAGATCAGAACTACAACGAGATCTGTAAAGTCACAGAGGCCAATCCCACCCAGAAAAAAAAAATTCGATCACAAAACAGAACAATGCAGAATATATTGTAAAAACCCAATTTGAGGAACTCTTATATGACCCATAAAACTCATAGAAACGGAAGCAATTTGGGGAAGGTTTTGAACTTTGAAAGAGACGAAAGACAAAAGGACATTACAAAAAAAAAAAAAAAGAAAAGAAAGAAAGAAAAAGGGAAACAAAGCACAATGGTGATGAAAAGGGCGAGACAAACAAGAGAGCAGAGCTTTGGACTAACCCAAAACCAAAGCTATATGGCTGTGACTTGTGGTATTAGCAGGTAATAGCCATGAAAGCAAATTCCAAGGGGAGCTTCTGTTTTCTCTGTTTTTGGGTTCTGTAAAATGATGTTTAAAGATTTGAAAGGAAAATTTTATGGCATGTTTTCACCCGATTAAGTAAAAAATTAGTCAGAATGTATATAAATTAGATGAGATATCTTTTACCATCGATAAATAGGAAAAAAAATAATTATGAAATGGGTTTTTAGAGATCTGATTACTGAGTTTGATGGGCCACTTTGATTCTAACGTCGATGTTTATTTTTAATTTTTTTTACGTAATTTTTGTTTGCTGAGTTTGTTGTACAAGGAGTTGGTTTGCATATGATGGATGGGCATGGGGCAAAGGTGGTTGTAGGGGTGGCAGCTGTTCATAGAGATTCTCTGTTGCATTGCTCTGTTATTGGTTTGAATTTTGTCGTTTCTGTATTATTTATTCATCCATAAAGTATACTGATCTGGGCACTCCGGCTAGGACACTCATCCCAAGTTATCACTATCACACCCTCACCCGGATCACATAGGAAGAACAACGGATCGGTCACTAAGGCCTTAATCAATTATTTTTGTACATAATTAATATAAAATACAGCAGAAGATAAATAATAAAGTGATCCTTATCACCGACCTAATAAATACCAGAAAAATAAACTAACATCACTGACATTATTACTAAACTCATATAAAACAATAATTAATTCATAAGATTTACTACTCTAAGCAAAAACAACATTGTTTTCAAACCAATCGAATACTTATCTCAAAACTATAAAAAAATATTTATTCTTGAAAACCTATAATAAAATAAATCTTCGATTTTTCTAATCCCTTGTTTATCCGAGGACTTACTCCTCCTCTGATCCTCACCTGAAAAATGTTAAATATTTGGGTGAGCATAAAGGCCCGTGAGTAGCAACCACCTCTAATTTAAAAATAAATCTCACATTTCATATACACAGAAATAAACTTTGTTACATACATAAATACAATAAATTGTACCTCAATCCCTTTCACATAACTATGTAAACAAAATGATCTCATGATCATAATAACTTTACAAAAGAAAAGACATTTATAGCTCAAAACACTCACACATTAAATCATGTTTGTTACCACTAGCTTGGTAACTGACCTCATCTCTTGTTATCACTAGCTTGATGACTGGTCCTGTCTTTTATTATCACTAGCTTGATAACTGGCCTCTGTGTGCACATCCCTATACCGATCACGCCAGTATACAATCTCGTTACCATTTAGACATGGTAATCCAGTCCCCTTATCATAAAACATGATTTCAACACACACACTAAAACTGTTATTTTAGTCCCATTGCACACAAAATATCTCTTTCATTACCAAAACTATTTAAGCAATAATATAAAATTATCTCATAAGTTTTGCAAATTCACATATGTAACAATTCACAATTTCAAAAATATTTAATTGCAACTCAAAACATCAACATATATCATATATATGAAAAATTCACACACACACACACCCACAAGTTTAATATAGAAAATTCTCCCAAAATAAGTAATAAACTACTCACCTTGATTTCCAAAATCTAATTCAAAGCACTATTTTTCAACCTCAATATAATCACCACCTAATTCAAAATAACATATAACAATCAATTCTTTTTCCTAACTTCGTCGTTTTACGATTCTATATTTAATTTTTATACTTCCTACTCATTAATATATACTCAATATATATTTTACATATAAATATCCTTTCTAATATGAGGTAATAGCGTATGGAAGTATTCTAGACTGTTTGAAAAAAAGTTTCTAAAGTTCTGGGGTCAAATCATAATTTTTAAAACTTTTGGGGTCAAAGTATAATTTCCTTAAAAAACAAATTTTCTGTTTTCGGGCCTGCCATAAATTTTTCAGAATTCTGTTCTTGCAACTTACCAAGTAAAAAAGTACTTAAAATTAAGTTTAGAAGAATAAATGGACCAAAATAAAACCCTTTGAAACTAAAAGAGCTTTATGTATTTTTTGAGATTTGGTCTTCTTCTTCTGGCGGCTGAACCTGAACCAGTATACTTCCTTTCCATTTTTTTTTTCTTCCCAAGACATTGATTGAACTCAATCAATTCCAAACAACTATAAACTTAAAAATCAATCTATTAACTTATAATAATCAATATATATATATGAGATATATATATATATATATATATACACACACCACATTATAAACCGTACACCCATTAATTGAATAAGAATATAAAACTTATAAAAAAAATCATTAATCCATACCATGGATGGATTCAAGTCCATTTCTTTCTTTTTCCTCCTCCTTCTCTCTCACTTTATATATATATATAACCCTGACTACCTTTTTTTCTTCCTCCTTATTTTTTTTTCTCTTGCCCTATTTTGACTGCCTACATATATACATATATAAAATAAAAGAAACCCTACAAATCCTCAAATTCATTAAATACATTAACATTCCTTTCTACAAAAATATTACAAATTAACCTAAAAACAAATATTATATATATTTTAAATTTAGAATATTACAATCACGTCTGGCTCCTCTGCTGTACAGAGCGGGATTCTGTTCCTCAAATGATATCATTTTATATGAAAAAAAAAATTTGGCTGAAACAGCAACAACAGTTACTTACATTTTAATTTTTTATTCACTCATGATCTAACTTGGTCGACCCGATTACGATATCGAAGGAAGAGACATTTTCTCAAAAAAAACTCAAAACGACGTCATTTTGAGAAACAATATTTATCTTGTACAATGGAGAAACACTGCCCCAAATCTTCTCAAAAAAAAAAACATTAAATACAGATATTGATTTAAAAGAGGACTTAATCAACAATCCTCAAAAAACACACCGACCAGTAATAAATGTTTTTCAAAAAAATTAAATGTATTCAAAATGTTACTAATAAATTTCACTCGAAATATAGTTTTTTTTTTTAAATCAAACCCTGGATTGAATGACATGATGAGAAATTAGAGGTTACTTGGGCTCTATCAGACCCTACTTCTAGGCTTCTGGCACTTGTAATTCTGTGATAGTATGCAGAGTTAAAAATGAAGGAAAGGGAACATTTTGTTTGGCAACAAGGGGGCTGAATTTTCGCCCAAAAATACATAATATTGATTCATTAGTTCAACGTCAAATTGTCAAGCAACATCGTGCAATGTTCAAATTTAACAGGTTTGAAGTGAACTATAAAAAAAAATTAAACAATCAGATAAGTTTAATAAATAAATTGATAGGAATTTATTGGTACCACTACAAATGGATCAATGCATAAATTTTGATACCCCATAATTTTTTTTTTTTTAAGTTTAATGGTCAAGGGTGTTTTGATTAACTTGTATACACTTCGACTAATTTCTTTCTCGATTCGGTCAAAAACAGGTCATTTACGTCAAGTTTAGAGTATTCATGAGAAATAAATCTCTCATAATCTAATTTTGAAGAGTTATCAAAATTCGAACTCAGAACGTGTGTATTTTATAACTCATCTTTTTTACCACTTGATCATCCCCTCGATAATTATGAGATAAACTCAACATGACTGGGATTTTACAGTTAAGAATTATGAGCGCCCCTATCAGTATCCTTGAAAGTTGGAAAGCCATTTGCATTTTGAATTTCAGAATAGAATTACAGTTCAAAATTAGATGGAGGGTGGGTGACCTGTGTGCGCAGCTGGCTAGGCTGGTCCCATTGTTCTTCTTCTGAGGTGGGAACTTTTATGCAGGCCAGAGCTAAAGTTAAAGAAAAGACACGGCTTCTTTTTCACCACACTTGTTTTGGTCTGCCCAAAAAAGTTATTGGTTCACACACAGTAGACAGAGAAAAGTTTCTTTCATCCTAAAAAAAACAGTTTCTTTCTGTTGAAATGTGTTGCTTAAAGCCAATGGATACTCCAATGGAGACAGATAGTAAATCAAAATGTCCCCGAGTTTGAAATTTGTCAGACCTTTTTTAGACCAAATTAGAGAAGAGATTAGTCAAATTATGCATAAATTAATTTAAATATCCTTAATTGTAATACCCAAAAAAAAGAAAAAGAAATGTGTTGCTTAAACTGTGCCTTCTTTCATTGAAATTTTGAGATGTGGTAGGATGAACTTCGAAATAGAAACTTGGATAAACCCAGATTTTTGACATAAAAGACAGCTTGATGGGAGGCACAAAAGGTTTAACTTTTTAAATCATGGTTCTTTAAGATTCAAGTTTTTTTGGGCGTTGAGCTCTTCAAAATTCAATTTTAGTTAAAAAAAAGCATGATGGTAATATCATTGCAGTATCATCTTTTTGACTAAGTAATAGTATCATTTGACCTTCGCCTACTCTCTTCGCTGGCAACCTCAGTGGCCCTCACACGTGCACGGTGCTCAAGAAGAATCGTCGGACAACCTCAGCAAGAACGCAGTATGTTATACTCTTTCCCACTCTCTCAAACACAAGTTGATTAGCTTTTTTGTAAAAAAAATTATACCAATCAATTCAGCTTAATTTCATATTAGCGGAACAAAAAAAATACTTGGATAATAATATAATTCATTGTAATTTAACATTTATTAAGATATTAGATTAGGAGTGATATATATTGTATTTTCAGTCCAAACTTACGTTTGATTGGTTTATTTTATCAAACATATTTTTATTTATTTAATGAATAAAATAATAATTTATATGATTGAATACAAAACACTCCCTAGAAGGAAAAAGTAAAAGATTGACTTTGGGAAAGAGCTCTACAACAATTTCGCCCCTAGGACATTTTCTCATATATGGTCCTTCTCTTTTACCTTAACTTAGGAAAAAAAAGTTCTTAAGTATCTTCTTCTACTATTAAATAGAGGATTCCGCATAACAGAGCAAACTCCCTTATTGAGGTAAAAATAGCAACCGGAACAAAGTAGTCATAAGGGCATTTCTCCATCTCTCTTTTTCTTTATCTTGGATTTGTTAACCTCAGAGAGAATAATCGTAGAAAAAGAGTTTCGAGAACTTTATCCTATTTTTTTGACACCTAGCCCCAAAAATATTTTTACCAACCAAATATAATTGATGAATCATTTACTTCATGGAGGTCGTGCATCAGTCCTCATAGGCTCGCTAGGGTGAGGTGCTAAGACGGCTCGTTTGGCGAGAAGTTCTAGGGGTGACAATGCGATGACTGCTACTTTCTATCTAGAATTCTAGGGGTCGTGATCCCATCAAGGAAGAGACTCACAAGGAGAGCACTATGTCGTACTAAATCGAATCACATCCAATGCCCTAGTCAATGTTTGGATTAAGTTTATTAAAATAGAGAATAATGTAAATGTATAAATGATTAATGACCCATGCTCCATCTTCTCTCCGTGTTTTACTTGCAAATCTTTTCTCACTTATGAAGGGTATTTATAGGGTACCTTGAATGAAAAAAGTTTATGAGATCACCATTATCGATAAATATAAGAATTGAATATCTTTCGAATGACGTTGACTAGGTATGCCAGTAATCTTGTGAGATGGAGTTAGGTGTCCTCCTTTTTTATCAAATGTGAAGAATCAATTTAATTTCTTTAAACACCGATCATAAATCAAAATATGAGAATTGTACTCTCTTTATATGTCGATGACAGAGAATATTAGTCTGGACTATTTACTCGAATTTTATTCATAAATAATATAAAATTTAATTAAAAATTCTGAATTTATTATGACTCTTAAGCCCAACCCTTGTTCTTGATTTGTTATAAAGATATTTACTTGCCTGATTTAATGGTCATGGCCTGTAATTATGTAACCTAACAGACGGTGGTTGTACCTACAAACATTTCTTGTCATTAGTTGACTGAAAACCTAAATGGCTATCCACCAACCCAACACTGCTGCCACGTCACCCCGTCATTCTTCTTATTGGGCAACATAGTGGATTCATGGGCCTTCACCTAAATGGATTAGTGTTTCTTGTGGCCCAATGTTCGCATGTCCATTAGTAAAGCTGTTCGTATCATGTAGTGTTTTTGAACAATGCATGTCATGATATGACAAGCATTGTTTTTTTTTTTTTTTTGTATTGTGTATAATTATATTTAGTAGGATTTATGTTGTGTTCAGCCGAATTCACATCGATTTATTTATTTAATGAGTTTGACTAGTTTATTCATTTATCATCCAAATAGGCTAAGATTAAATTCAAACCCGTTAGTTACATATCAACTTTATATCATGTTCTACAAGTCGTGCTTTATATTCGCTAGAAGTTGTATTAAGTTGGATTCACATTAACCTATTTACCTAGCAAATCAAGTGTGTTTATCATTAAACTTGTTAACATTAAACTCAAGCCTCTTCACTCCATACAATTTAATGTGAAATTCGTTGAGGGCTTGTTTTTTTAGCAGGATAATGGTAGAAAATACAAGAAAGTAAATTTTTTAAAATTCTTTATGTGTTTGGATAGTATAAAATGGAAAATGATGGAATTTTTTTTTCTACATGCTTAGATTTTTTCACAACTAACAGCCTTTTTTATCTTGTAAAAAATACACAAAAAAAAAGAAAGAAAAAAAGTTGTTATCAATAACCTAACCCTTATTTTTGTTAAAATATTCAATTAGTTACTAATTTAAAAAAAAAAACTTCATACAAATTTGGCTAACCATATAATCTTGTCTAAAGATTTGGGTTCGAGTCAATCATTGTCCTAGAACTAAGTTAGGAGCATATTTTTTAAAAAAAATTTATTTTTAATTATAATACATATTCTTTCTTCTTTAAATTGAGTTAACCTAATTAAGGATAATTTAGACAATTAGAACAATTTTCTAATAATTTTATTTTCTTTCAAATAATAGAATAATTTTTTTTAAAATTTTCTCAAAATTTTTTCATACTAACCAAATAAATACATGAAAAAGATATTTTTTTAATTTCACTTTTTATCACTTTCACTTTCACTTTCACTTCCCATCATTTTTTTCTTATTAACCAAAGGAACCTTGGGTAATGAGTAAAATTATTGGGCCCTCTTATAAAAACATCCTAATTGGATAAATGAAACTGGGCTTTTCGGCAAAACAGTCCAATTGATTCGGGCCTTTCGGCACCATCACTTGCAACCCAAGACAAAGGACGACACAAGATAGAACAGAGCATCCACCAGTTCTGAGTTACTTCTGTACTTCTGATTTTTAATTTACGACTCTATTTATTTATATATATAGAGTGCGTGAAGCTCTTCGCCGAGTTGAATCGTAGAGGAATTGGGTGAGATTGGGAAGATGCGAGGACGATGTGGAAGGAGATTGGAGATAGAGAATCCGGTAAATTACGCCCTAGTTTATTCAGTAATCGTATTAGATGCAATCGATTGACCTCTCTACAGCTCTCCAATCACAAAGAGATTGTCTCTCCTCACCGTGGCTCCATTAATTCTATCCAGGTTTCCTCTCTCTTTCTTTAATTGTACTATAATTCATTCGTATGTTTAGTAGATTTCCAAAGTTATTTTGTTCCCCAGAAACTACAATGTGTTTAGTCATTGTTTGAATGTTATACAATCGTTTTTTTAGCTGAATTAGTTAGGACTGATATAGAAACCCTATTGGTGGTAGATTATGTTATGGTTAAAGATGCACGCACTTGGTTCCTATTGATATCCAAAGGTTCTAAGGAAAAAGGGTTTGTAACTGTATTAATTCTGGTAATTGGATTCTTTTGTTAAATAGAAAAGCTCCATCTTCTAGTCTAGGCCCACTTACACAGTATGCTGGGTATGTAATAGTCTAGTCCTACTTTTCTCTATTAGCACAAAGTGGTTGCTCTTATAATGTAACCTGTGTATTCATGCTTGATAGTCTTGGGGTGTCAATTTTAACCCCGATACGAACTCGAACGAACACAAAATTCGAAAATGACATAAAAGATAAATTGGCACGATGAACAATAACATAAGCAGAAAAAGGTATTTTTTAATATATTTTTACCTGGTATCTTATAAAATGTTCCAGAATTAAATAATTTTTTTTGGGACATGTACCAAAAATAATATGACCAAAAAATGACACGACACGAAAATAACACGATTGACACTTTAATTGATAACCCCAACACTATATTATTGAATTAAACTAAGAAACACGGACACAGACACAGGACATAGATATGACACGACGCAGATATGCAGACATGACATTTCTCCAAAAAAATAGGACACTGATACGTTAGAAATATGCTATAAAAAATTATATTTTATATGAGGTTTTGACCCATATCAAGTGTTTTTGAAAAAAAGTCCCAATTAAGGGTAGGTTTAAAAATAATTCTCAAACCCAAGGTATTTTAAAAACGTCATTTGGTCTGACGTTTTTAAGCCAAAAGACGTCAGTTGGTTTGACGTCTTTAGCTTAAAGACGTCAGACTAACTGACGTTTTTAAGGCAATGCTGTGGCGCAGGGAAGTGAAGAAACGTCAAACCATTTGACGCCATTAAAATGGAATATTCAAGAGGCGTCAAATGGTTTGACGCCATCTAATTCAGCCCATTCCACCACCAACAGCCCAAGCACTTGCACTTTATGAATACATTTTTATTTTATGTATGCATTTTTATTAATATGACAAAATTAAATTTAATTATATGTATACGTATTATCAAAATATGTTAGCATAATTTGGATAACAAAATTTAATTAGTAATTTTTAATCTCAAAAAATAAAAAAATAAACTATAAATTAAAATTTTCTAATATTATTGAAAGTAAAAAAATAAAAAAGCTTTGTACGTTCATGCATGAATACTAGTATCCTTGAAAGAACGAGAGATTGAAATACTTACCAGCCTGTGATTTCGAGAAGATTGGGAGAAAATAATCTTGAAGAATTGCGGCAACTTGACCGAAAAATTGTTTCAATTTAACTCTACACCACTTCGCGTGCACCGAGAACCATTACCCACGGGGGTTTATTTGTAATTGTTTAAATCAATTATGTTTTGTGGAATGACTCATAGTTCACCTAGTAAACAAATAGTATCATCAACCATTCAGTTTAAAGATGGTTGGTATTGGTAACTGGTACAGTGAGTTTTAATTAGGTTTTACTGGTTATTTAATATATTTCTAGTCGAAATGCCCAATGGAGTTGATAGAGGTGACTTAAGAATGTGTTTGGCGCGCACTTTGAGGATGAACAAGTTTGTATGGGGCCTTCTAGACCAAAAAAGTAGTGGGTGTAATGCTTACAGTTTGTATGGGGCCTTAAATTTAATTATATGTATACATTTTCAATTTTTAAAGTTTGATATGCTAAAAAATAATAGTATTTTTAATTTATCAAAACTTATTTATTGAATGCAATTAAATTTTTAAATAAATAACAAAAACTCAGCAAAACAGTTTTACGTATCATTGTTAGGGAGAATAACATCAGTAGGACAAATGAAATTTATGTATTTTTAAAATATCATAATTTTTTTATTAAATAAACATTTAACATTTTATTCAAAAAAAAAAGGTAAAAAACCTATCACGGTATTATAGAATGATTTAATTGAAATAAAACAATTAAAATTTAAGGACTAAATTAAAACCCGAGAGAAAATTTAGGGGCAATTTTGATAGTTACCCAAAATTTAAATGTGTATTCATAAAGTGTTTGGGCTGTTGATGGTGGAATGGGCTGAATTAGATGATTTGACGCCACTTGAATTTTCCATTTCAATGGCATCAAACCATTTGACGCCTCTTGAATTTAATGGCGTCAAATGATCTGACGTTTCTTCACTTCCCTGCGCCACAACATTGCCTTAAAAACGTCAGTTGGTTTGACGTTTTTTATCTAAAGACGTCAAACCAACTGACGTCTTTTGGCTAAAAAACGTCAGACCGAATGACGTTTTTAAAATTCCCTGAATTTGAGAATTATTTTCAAACCTACCCTTAATTGAGACTTTTTTTTCAAAAACACTTGATACGGGTCAAAACCTCTATTTTGTATACAATATTATATAATTTATTACAAATATAGTGATAATGATATGCAATTCATAAAAGATTCATTATTTTATGATAAGTAAATCTTATGTGTAGTCATATGTGTAAATTTTTTGACTAAAACATCATCATAATACTCCATAATTATCAATTTTTTTTTTAGACATTGTGTATCTAATATATAATTTAAATAATTACTCTCCTTTTTAAACTTTTATGTATTTTTTGTATTTATTATTATATTTGGAATACAACTTTAACATGTCTAGTATTAGTAATTATAAATTCTTAGATTTTTAAATTTTGTTAATCACATTTCAACACATGTTTATTGTTTAGTAGTAGACACATTCTAAAGAAGTATTGAACACGTGTCCGAAATTAAAATTTTATCATTTAAATATGGATACAGATAAAAGTGTATTGAACACATGTTCGAAAAGTGTCGGTATCCGATATAGATACGCCACCTTCTCGAAAGTGCCTGTGCTTCATAGCAATTAAGCAGTGGCGCAACTTGTGATCACAACATGGAAAGCAAAAAACAGACTGGGTAATATCGTTGAGCCTTGTAGTAAGCTTAAGAGTGAGTTTAGTACCAATTTTGCTTGAGATTATTCATTTTGGAATGCTTTACATGTATTGTGATTCTTTCGGCATGTATATTGTTAAAGTTCAAGTAAATAAGGAAAACTTTTGGGGCCACCACTTTTGATCACAAAATCAGGTTGATTTGACAGAGGGGCGATATTTGTTATCCGGTGCATCAGATGCATCGGTTGCTGTTTATGATATTCAGCGTGCAACTAATTATGAAGGAGGGAGTCTGGTTGCAAAGCATAACTCCATATTTGTTATCGATAAGCAACATGACCATGGGCATAAATATGCCGTGTCCTCAGCCATTTGGTATCCAGTTGACACAGGGCTGTTCATCACTGGTTCGTATGATCATCACATCAATGTTTGGGATACAAATACCTCACAGGTTGGCATCCTTCAATTCTTATCATTCTTTATGGTCAACTTCAAGCTCTTGTCAGTATTGGGTTCTGATTTTTTCTATCATTGACCTGATATTCTTGCCATACTCTGTTTGTTTCAATAGGTGGTAATGAATTTTAAAATGCCAGGAAAGGTTTATAGGACTGCTATGTCTTCACTGGCGACGTCTCACATGCTTATCGCTGCTGGAACTGAAGATGTTCAAGTTCGCCTCTGTGACATTGCTTCAGGGGCATTTGCTCACACGTTGTCTGGTCATCGTGGTATGCTAACGGGTTAACCTGATTAAGTTTGGAATTACTTACAGTATGCTATTCTGAGACATGCAACATGTTCTTAGTTATTCATTAAGCACCACATTAATGGAGTAAGAGTGAAAAAATGATCAGTCAGTGGCATGGAAAGATGTAACTTGATTTTGGCTTCTTTAAGGGAATTATATAATTCAATAAAGAAGAATGAAGAGAAATAACAAAAAGGAAGAGAAAGTAGCAGACGAAAACTTGTAAAATCTTATCTACTTTCAAAACTTGTGTGGAAGAAGGGTTGTGTAATATTTGTATTATAAAGACTCTTGATTGAGAAATACTCTGAAGATTTCTTTATCAGCAGGTAAAAGCTACTCCATAACATCCATTTGGGGATTTCTGACATGCTTCCTGTTTAATTTAATGGTCCCCTCTCTTTAAGGGAAAATCATTCTTCTTGTACTTTTCTGTACCCTGTTTAAGGGATATTTCTGGTATTTTATATGTTGTTCTGGCTGGTGTTTGGGTCCTCTTATGTAATAACCCATGGTTTAATTATATTGCTTGTCTAATAAATGAATGCATCTGGGTTCTGTCTCTCTGATTTAATTTATCTTTTGTATTATTCTTTCTTAATCTAATGTTAGACATAACAGAACTATAGCCATGGATTTAGGAGCTGTTAATTGTGTTTTATCTTTTCTGTGCTAACAGATGGTGTAATGTCAGTGGAGTGGTCTACTTCTAGTGAATGGGTGTTGGTGACTGGGGGATGTGATGGTGCAATACGCTTTTGGGACATCAGACGAGCTGGATGTTTTTGTGTTTTAGATCAGTCCCACTCTCAGCTTGGAAGACGCCTGCCTCTCCTACGACGCTCTGCCACGAATAAGGTTTGTCAGGATCCTAAGCTATCCGTGCTTGATAATTGCTATGTATAAAACTTTGAGTCCACTTCATAAACGTGCTCTCTGTTCACTTCTATAAAGCTTTATGTATCTGATATTTTGAACTCATTGCTAAATTTCCCCCTTTTAAAGACAAGCCTAGGCTTGTTGCGAACTTGAATTTTGTGAACAACCTTGATTATTGAATTTTTGTTTGCAGGCTATGCATCTGATGCCACTTTGTATCTATCTATCTATCTATCTATATATATATTGAGTTTTGTGAACAACCTTGATGATTGAAATTTTTTTTAGCAGCTAGGCATCTTGTATTTAAACCAATCTTTAATTGTTGCACAAATGCACCTGCTCTTTATATATTCATATGGTTATGTGGTTTTTAATAGGTATTTGTGTCGTAATGTCATTCAGTTTGCAGAAAAAACTGTCGGTCCCCAAATAAATCAGCCATAGGTCAAATAAGGTCAAATCACAAGTGAACACTAATGAATGAATCAATCCAAATAAAGGCACACTTTTGCTTCTTAGATTTTGATGTAACAAGGGTACCATTTCCTTCTGCACTTCTATACATAAGAGGTTTAACTATGAATTACTATGAGGATGAGTGCAGACTTTGCTGCCTTTCCACCACTCCAAAAAACACTAAAATGGAATAGTGAAAGAATATGAAAATAGGGGTGTGTGTTATTTGTTGTTGCTATCTTGCAACAAAAAGAAATGTGATGGAACTCTCATATCCTTATATTTTTCCTCTCTAATTTTCTTTTCATTTTTATACTGCATCAGACTTGGATTGTTGGGTAGCTCAATCTGCTGACATTGTTTCTGATTATAAGCTCCATGCAGCCACCAAACATGATCAAGTCAATTGTATCTAATATGCAAATCTCTGAGTTCTTCACCAATGATATCTTTTGTATTCCTGTGCAGAATTTATTATCAAAATCCTTATCATCAGGCCAGAATACATCTGTGAAAGCCCGGGCACTGCCAAAGAAATCTGCTAACAGCAATGTTTTAAAGCAGTCTGCTAATAGCAGAAATCCCAGCCAAACCAAGGGATCCGGGAGGCAGAGACTTCATCCTGGGATGTTGTCTAGTCAGGATCGCGCCACTGCCCATTACGGAGCTATTATAGGATTAAAAGGGACTGAAGATGGCATGTATCTTTTAAGTGCAGGTTGAGTCTGTCTAATATATGTAGTAGATGATTACTTGACATTAGGGGTGATCTTTGTGTGACTATCAATCTCCTTTGTTTTTATTTCTTTCTTGCTTATCTTTTTGCTTTTTTTTTTCCCCCCTTCTTGAGGTAGTCTGACAAATCATTTCCGCAATACGTCCAGCTGTTAGCTTATATGGTATCTCTTGCCACTCCCAAATGGCGAGGTGCAGGTTTCAAGTTACAGTTGGTCATGGGTGCATATATATTACTTCTCAAGGAAATATATGAAGGAAGGATAAACAATTGAACAACTAGATTTCTTAATTATTCTTTGGTTAAACATACTTTCAAGATGATATTTGTGCTTGTTGCTGCATCTTAATGTGTATCAGTTACATTTCAATTGAGTATTTTTTTTGTTTCCCATTTTTAAATTGTAGGTTCTGATTCACGAGTAAGGTTGTGGGATATAGAATCTGGATGCAATACTCTTGTAAACTTTGAGAGTGCGCGCCTGCAAACCAGCAAGGCTATACAGTTAGCAGTAACTCAGGATTCAGCCCTTGTTTTTGTTCCGTGCATGACAGCTGCAAAAGTAATGTCATTTCCATACTGCTCAATTGTTTAAGTTTGCTAGAAACTACAAAATTTATAATATATGTTCTGAAATCCTCAGGCATTTGATGTGTGGTCCGGCAAGACAATGCTGACATTTCGTGGCCACTATGAATATGTAAATTGTTGTTGCTATAGTGCGCAAGATCAGGTATGACCATCTCTCTCTCTCTCCCTCTCCCTCCCTGGGGTGGGGTTGTTTCTTGTTTATACTTCTGGACTTTGCTAAGCATTTGAACTTTCCATTCAATTAGTCACATCCTGCAACCCAATCTGAGTGCTGAAATCAATTTTTTTTTTGGATGAATTTGGGAAAACAAACTTGCGAGTTTTGATGCTCTTGAAATGGATTGAAATCATTTCCCAAAGAGTACATGTGGAAACTTTATTACTCATGGTTGTGGTGCTATTTAAATCAATTACCAGACCAACTTAGTCATGATACTACTGGATTTGGTTATGGACTAAACCCGTGCCTTCAACCTTAAAAGAAACTTCGGGTTCCTAACAGTACAAGTTGGCAAAGTTGAAATTTTGGTTTCATTTTATGATGTGACTGTTTTAACAATGAAATTTAGCCAACCCGTTTGTTCAAGATTGTTCCTTTTCTCTATACAAGGCACAAGTTACTTAATCTTGCTTTTCTCTATATACTAAATGTTAGTTAGGCAAACTGGTTAAACCGTTAAACAAATTCTGGCTGATGTGTTGCAGGAACTATACACTGGAGGTAATGATAGACAAATTCTTGTGTGGTCTCCACCCAAATCTATTTCTGTTGAAGTGGTATGCCTTATATATTATCATAAACTAAATATACCTTGAATGCTGCCAAGTGGAGATTACGTTATAATTGGGGTTAAAATGTAGGACGAATGGAAGAGGAAAGGGCAGGCTCCTGCACCTGATAAGGATAACTGGAGCGACTGACATTTACTGCTGCCAACGCGTGTTACAGATTTCCAGGTCACCTATATATTCTAGCGCTTTGGATGTACATAATGTGTTAACACTGTGTATTCATATTCTTTCCCTAGTACTATTTCTTTGTTCATTGGTTTTTGTCACAAGATTTTGGAAGGAAACAAAATGCTTCCTTGGGTCATGGTAACTGGATGTTGTATCATTTTGAAATGCTTGTATACATAAATGACTGTTATGTAATAGGGCATTATATCTGGAAAAATGGAGAAATTATTGCTTTATCTTTTCGCTGTACCAACCAGCTCTGTATACATCTTGATGTCCAGCTAACACTCTCTTAAAATTTTTAAGGTGCCAAAAGCTAAAAGTTACATTGACGTTATAGGAATAGTTTCCCATATATACTATATAAATGTGGGGATGCTTAAGACATGAATGAATTAAGTGGTGCAATACTTGTGCTATGCATGACCCTTGTCTCATGAAATTAAATGCGGGCATATATAAATTTCATATTCATGGGTGCTGAAATGCTCATGACTTCTAGCTCTCAAAGAGGGAGGATGCTTAGATGATATTATTACAGGAATACATCAATCATGCGTAGTGATTATTCATCACCTTTAACTTTACATGATGCATGCAGATGCTGCAACTTTTGATCTTGCTCAAAACCCGAAACAGCAAGATAACCAACATTTAACAGATGGTGCATGCCACTGTTTGGTTTGTACTGAGCCCCCTCTGAGAACTTGGGGTTAAGCTTTGTGAAGCTGCTCAGAGTTTAGTTAACTCAGATGATGCTTATTGTGAGGTCTCTGGACCCTAATCCCCTCTATAGAATGACTAGTTATTGCCTATGCCTAAATGCTCAAAATAATAAAAAAAAAATAAAAATAAATATATTTATATTCACAACCAAAATTAAATTATAAACATAGAACAAAGAAAATAATTTAAGCATCAATTGTAGTGGGGGTGAAAACAGTGGTAGTAATGGTGGTGGGAGACAGTGATGGTTGTGGTGGGTGGCGATGATCGTGGTGTTAGTGACAGTCATGGGTGGCAATGGTGATGTTGGTGGTAGTGACAGTCATAGCTGACGGCATTAGTGATTGTGGGTGACAGTGATAATGGTTGACAATGGTGGGGTGATGATGGTGGTGGGCAACAACGGGTGTTTTTGAACGACAATGTGATGAGTTGTGATAAATTGCGATGGTAGTGGTGGATGTGATAGGGGTGGGTGACAGTAGGTGGCAACAGTGGTTAACGATGACGATTGGTGGTGGCAAGTTTGATGGGGGTGGGAGACAGTGACGAGCGTCAATGGTGGGCAACGATGGGTGGTGATGGTTTGTGATAGTGAGTGGCGATAGGTGGTGATGAGCAACAATGGTAGTTGTGGGTGTTGACGGTGGACGATGGTAATAACAATTGGTGGTGGGGCAGCAAAGGAGATGGGGGTGGCGGTGGTGGTGGTGACAACGACGACAGCGACGGTAACAGTGTTGGTGATGGTGGTGATAGGGTGTCGACAATGGTGGTGGTGGTGGGACGGTTAATGTGGTGGTGGTGGTGGGGTTCTGATAATGGTGGTGGGGTTCTGATAATGGTGGTGGTGGTGGTGGCAACGACAATGATGCAGGAGGTGTTTGTTGTGGCACATGTTGTGATGGGGTTACGGCGGCGGTAGTAGTGGTGATGGTGGTGGGGCGGTATGTAGTACGAGTGATAGTGGTGGAACGATTTCAAATATATATATATATATTAAAGTATTCAAAATACACTTTTAGAGACTTATTTTTCCTAATAAATTTGAGTGTTAATATTAACCGTTGGATTAACTTTAAAATAAAATTTAAAAAGATTTCAATCGCAAAAAATAAAAATTAATTTATTTATCTTTTAAGATTTGAATTGTATTGTACTTTATTATATAAATTTCATGATTTTTATTAAGAGTAGCTAATTTTAGATTGCTTGGTATTTTTTTTGGCTCGAGAGTCGGCAATATTTGCTAGTTATATATTTCAATTATATATAGCCTGAGAAAAAAGAAAAAGAACAGTGTATAGGTAGTTTTGATTTCCTCTTCTAGATTGCCCCTATCATACTCTACCGATTGTCTCCAGAGATAGTGACCAGCAAAAGGGAAGAAAATTTGGGGTGGTGGCTGTGACGAAGAATTTTTTGATCTGGGTCAAGTTGAAATGCGTAATTGACCCGCTGGATTATAATTTTCCTTTGATTCTGTATCTTGATAGATATTTTAGAATATGTTGTATGCTACCTACCATGATTGAAAAACAACACTCAAATCAAGGTAATTTAAGTAGTAATAGAGACGAACTGTAAACTCAATGTTCAGAGTTTGAATCTTGACAACTCGTTGAATCAGGTCATGAGAGATTTATCTCTCATGAATACCTTAGTCTCGGTGTGTATGACCTACTTTTAATTGGACTTTAGAGAGAAGATTAGTCAAGGTCACTCCTAACCATTGAACCATAAAAAACACACAAGATATTTACAAGACTGCATTTTGATTGAAGTAATCATCTTTGGCCTTTGTGCTTTTTGGATGGCGTATTGCAAAATCATTCCAATTGTGTATCCTTTAGATTCATAGCTATAATGTAAATATTAGATGTGCACATCAATCACCTGTTGGGCCAATTCTCATACCATGAGAGGTTCTTATCTCATGTCAAGCTACTACCTGCCATTTAGTGGGGTTCATATGGTAGAGTGGGGAAAATTAATGTTGTGGCTTTAGTCATTGTATTTGAATAGAATAATGCTATTTACTTCTAAAAGTTAGATCTAATTTACTAATTTAATAATGCGATTTTAGTAAAATTATTGGATTAATACCCAAGTTTCAATATTTGAAACGATGTCAATTTGAATGTTGATTCATCCAAGCAGTATGTAGCAAAATTTGATCTCTAAGATGACCTCTAAAAAATGGAGATAAAACTATTTACAAGTTCTTTTTTCAAAACTTTTTGTGCATTGGGATGAACTTTTTGTGTCATTTTCTACTATCAGAGTAAGAGACCAAACCAGGTGTGTCATCAACAGAATGTATAAGAAGCAGATGAAAGTTGCAAGGATATACAGCTGAATTGTATAGTAGGCCCACTATCTGAGGCAGATTGGCGAAGGATCAGCTTTCAGTGGGAGACTGTGTATACATTTTTCTGGCACAGGTGCATAAGGTCTAACAAGACTGGTACATTAGTTGTTGATATCATATGTCACAAAAAGAAGAAAAAAATCTTTCAAGGTTAAAAAATATTTAAAAAAAGGCAAAGGAACAGTGAAAGATTGGTTATTCTATATTTTATACAAATCTCCAGACCATGACTTCAGTTTTTTTTTTTTGTCAATAAGAAATTTCTCTGCAATAAATTGGTATTTGAGTTACATAACTATATTTATCGGGCAAATCTGGAAGACCCGAGCGAGGATTGAACTCGGAATGTTTGAATTATGGTTCATCCCAATGTTGACTCTGAAAATACTAGTTGAAACATGAAGGTAAGCTTTTATTTGTAAGTCAGAGAAAATTATAAAGTGTTCATGTATCATGGCACGGAAATTTAAAATTCTTTTTCTTGTCAATTGCCTTGTGCAAAGAATTTTCACTATACAGGACAAAAGTCTAGAGTATACATCCGGCAAGGACGATCAGTTTGACCTTCAGTTTGATGTAATCGAGAAAATTTATATAATTTTGATGTAATATTGTTCAAAAGTATGTTGCTTACAAAGTGTTCGACAAAAATCTTGTCTACTAATTTACCCCTATGTTTCACGGCACGACTTGGTCCTCTGTGTGTGTGTGTGTACGCGTGCGCGCCCGTAATACTATAAATATGCAAGCAAAAGATTGGAGCTTTTAATATCAAACACCTGCCTTGGGCACTCTTTTATGGACTTCACAGTTCAACGTAAGAGCACACTATTTCCGGCGACTTCGTCAGAAATGGACCCCGGAATATGGAGCCGACTGCCGGAGGACATCCTCGAACACGTCCTTGCATTTTTACCATTGAAGACCTTGTTGAATCTCAGATCAACCTGTAAACACTTCAAGTCTCTCATCTTATCGCCTTCTTTCATCTCCAAGCATTACTCTTCTTTTTCTTCACCTTTCTCTTCTTTTGTCTTACTCTCTCACCCACAGTTTCATTATGAATACCCTCTCTATGACACCATCCTCAACAACTGGCGCAACGTATCTCTCTCCCTCACTCCCGTGCTATCCAATGTACCATCGGCTGTACTCCTCTCAACCTCTAATGGCCTCCTTTGCTTCTCTTTGCCCAACTCATCATCTTTCCTTGTGTGCAACTTGTTGGCTAGATCTTCAAGGAAAGTGAAGTTTCCAAAGAAACCATTTGTTTTTAACTTGCTTACTTTGGTTTCTACTTCAGGTGGGTACATATTGTTCATGCTATCTCCTTCTTCTTCTGGGGCATCTTATAATACTCTTCTATATGACTCCAGCGTTCAGTCATGGCAAGAATTTGAGGGGTTTGACCCGGTTTTAAGCAACGATTATCATCAAGAAGGTGTATACAACAATGGATACTTGTATTTCACAACAACAGAACCTTTTTCAGTTGTGAGCTTCGATTTGGAGTTTGGGAAATGGGAAAGATTAATGGTTGAGCTACCGGATGAGCTTATGTTTATTCGATTGGTGAGTGATGGGAATGGAAAGTTGTACATGATTGGTGGAATTGGAAGTGATGGAATATCAAGAAGCATCAAGTTGTGGGAATTGAGTGGTGGTGGAGAGAATTGGGTGGTGGTTGAAAGTGTTCCTTCGATGATGTGTAGGAAATTCTTGTCGGTCTGCTACCATAATTATAAACATGTTTACTGTTTTTGGCATCAGGGTATGATTTGTGTATGCTGCTATAGTTGGCCTGAGATATTGTATTACAGAGTCTCCAAGAAGACCTGGCACTGGCTGCCCAAATGTCCTTCACTGCCAGAGAAATGGATTTTGGGTTTCAGGTGGTTTTCTTTTGTTCCTGAGCTATTTGCTTTTGTGTGAATTTATATATATATATATATTTTGTATGAAATTCTGCCTGTATGTCGAATTTTTCTTCTTAATGATAAAAGTTTGTTTACAAACAAGGATTTGGGGAAAGAGTAACATTACCTTATTGGGCTTTTGGATTGTACTTTGTGCCTCTATGGCTTTGATCATCTTGTTAGAGCAAATGTGCTAATTTTTTGTTAGACCATTCGATATTTGATTATTCTTTTACACCAGTGGTTAGATTCATGGATCAAGTAGACCATCTTTTTTGATGGCAGCATCAATTGTACAGAGAGACTAAGAATACATTCTCATCTTGATTTTTAATTGTTTTAAGGTTTGCTGGCATAGGGGCCCTCTTAGAAGTTAGAACCCTGTTGACTTTGTAGATCTCATATTTCATCAGGCCTCTTGCTGCATTGGTACTGGTGTTAATCACTACCTCACCTGTAAGATTCAGTTCATGGTTCATTTGCTGGATATAGAGGCTCATCCACAATTGGGTATCAGGTGGTCCTAGGTATATTCTCTATTTATAACCTTTCCACTAACTCCATTTCTACAGTGGGTCTTCTAATGCATTCTTTGGTGTATTCTCATTGTTGAGCCCTCTGGAATCTGAGAATATTTAAAACTTTCCGTGTCTACAATCTCAAGCCTTCTTCCCGAATTATTGGAGTCGAGCAATTGCTCTCTATGTCTTTTCTTGTTTCTTCATTGGTCTTCATAGTGGTTTGGAAATTTGTTGTTGTCACCTGCACTATCCTGGCCAAAGCTGGCAATGGCAGATAATTGTATATTTTCTAAAAACAAATCATTGAATAGTAACTGAAGACTTTTCTTTTATATAGATTATTATTGGATAAAGAGCATATGACTTGTAATAAATGTTTGTTAATGAAATAAATTAAGCATAAATTGAAGACTTCTCCTCCGCACTTGATAATGATAGCTTGATATTTACGTTGTAGTTCACGTACACGATACCATTTGAAAGCAAGTGGGTTGATTTGGTTACCAGTTTAGAATCACTCAAAAAATGAAATAGCTTGTGATACATTCCTTGTGTTTTGGTTTTGAATTATCAAATCTCCTTGTAAGTCATTATTCCCTAGCAAGAGCAGCAAAGAAATATACGTAGCTTGTTTGGTTTGAATCTAAAAAAAACAGTATCTGAAAATTATTTTTGAAAAGAGTTTTAAGAAGGTGTTTTTAAAAATTTTTAGATTGCAAAACCTGTTTGCTTATACTTTTTTGAAAATAGTTTTAAAGAATAAAAAATAATAAAACTTGTTTGGACAATCAACCATAAAACCAATTTTTAACTTATCACTTTTGATAAAAAAAAAAAAACTGATTACTCTAGTCAGACAGTCACGTCCATCGCCTTCTCACACAGCAACTCTTTCTCCATTATCTTTTCACACAGCAATGTCTTCCTCTCTCTCCATTATCTTTCCACACAACAACCATCTCTCTCTATTAACTTCTCACCCAACAAAAACAAACACACGTAGGCATAGCACATCGTGTGCGCGCGCACACACACAAAACCTACACACTCACATACATCACACAATGCATGTGTATATATATATATATACACACATATGTATAGATCTGTGTATACATACAAATTTGAACACATATCTGTACATATACAGATCTGTTGCGCAAAGAAAGGGAGAGAGGAGATGAGTTCTCACACACACTCACACTCACACAGACGTGCACAGATCTATGTCTCAAATCTATGTATATATACAGTCTGAAGCTAGATTAGACAGAGGGAGGAAGAGAGGGAAAGTTGTGAAAGAGAGAAAGAGAGTGCGGTGGAGAACATGAACAGCTGGTCACCATTTTTTGTCTCCAACGAAACTCGAAGGAGAGACGTCATTAAATTAGAGATAGTGTGTTTCCTGTGTTTTCATTTTACCTTAAAAAACAATGAAAACATTTGTTGTTCTCTAAAATTACATCTTATTTCCCAAAATTTTCAAAAAATTGGAGAACAAAAAACTAAACAAACAAAATTTTCCTTGTTTTTAGAGTTTTAAGAACAAAAAATTGTGTTTGAAAATCAAACCAAACATGTCCTTTCTCTTATTTTCGAGTTTTCAGAATTCGGTCTTTGGTTGTCCTATATTTTTTTTGTTGTGTTAATTTATTGGAAAAATTTCAACCACACATTTTTTAGTTTATATATTTAAGGATACATATTCTATTTTTTGAATCTTCATTGACACTTCATATTAGATTAAAAATATTAACTAAAATATAATTTTACTAAATTGTTCGTAATATACTTCAAGAAAAATTTCATCCATACCCCTTATAGGTAGACATATCTCCAATGAGACTTCATCTATTTTTTTAAAATTTTTTAACATATTAAAATTTAAACCGATTAAAACTCGATTCGAGTTAATTAAAATTTATATTTGTGAACGTATTAAAAATGGAGATAATTAAAATTCTATTCGAGCTAATTAAAATTTAATTTTTGATACATAAAAAATATAAATTTTAACTGATTCAAATTTTGATACGTAAAAAATGAATTTTAATCAACTTGAATTTAATTTTAATTAACACGGATTTTAATCGGCTCGAAGCAAATTTTGATCGACACTAATGGTTCAAGAAGAGCTCAAATCGTCTGGAATTTTGATACTTAAAAAAATAAAATTTAATCAGGTTGAATTAAATTTTAATTGGCTCAAATTTTAATATGTAGAAAATAAATTTTAATGAACTCAAATTTTAATTTATAGAAAAAATAAATTTTAATCGACTTGATTTTTATGTAGAAAGATTGTTTGAAATCTATGTAGGGATAATTTTGATATTTTTGAATAATTTTTTTTTATTAAAAATGTTAATATAAAGGTAAATGGTGTCAGTAATGTTTAAATATAAATTAAAAGGAGTCTCAGTAAAATTTTGAATAATAAAAAATGTTCTTGAAGATAAGACAAACTAAAAAAAAAGTGTATCTGAAATTTTTCCTAATTTATTTTAGAATTTATGTTTATAGAACATATAGATTAAATATGAAATGAGGTGTAATGTGATTGGCATTCGTTGTATTTGAATTTTTCCCATGAATTTAACGGGAAAACCAGCATAAAGTTCCACTCTAACCGCAACCAGTACCGGTCTTTTACGTTCATAAGGAAAGCTGAATCACGAATAGTCGTCCTTGGTGATTGAGACCACTCTGCCCAAAAGTAAATCCATGTGCTTTTACTTTGCCACCTTTCTCTGCTCTAATTAATTGCTATGGACAAGACTACCTCAATGGTGTCAAAAAAAATTTCAATTTTTTCAATTTTATGGATTGAAATATTAGTTTTTAAATTTTTCTATAATTAAAAAATTTTCAATTTTTATGGTCCAATTCATAACTATTATAGAGTTATTTACGACTTTTGACGTTACCTGTTTGTAATCGATCCTAAAATTTTTAGGATCAATCCCAAGTAATTCTCAAAAATTTTAAATTATCTTTAAAGATTGTAAATGATTCTCAAAAATTGTAAATAATTTTCAAATATTATAAATGAATCTCAAATTTTATAAAAAAAAAACCACAAAATTTATAAAATATTGATACAGTATTAATTTTTTTTTCAACACTGTAGACTTAGTCGTTTTGAAAGACTTGAACACATCCATGGTCCTCAATTAGCTAATCAGATGTTCTGGCCAATTGGTCATGAAAGCGATGGGATATAAATTAGGGCAAATTTCATTTTATCCCCTTGTGGTTTGTCCTTAGAGCACATCACCCCTTTATCGTTTAAAAATATACAGATAACCCCCTTGTGATTTAGGATCAAACAGAACAGCTAATACCGTTAACAGAGATAAGAAAAAGACATTCCTATCCCTCGGTGTCTTCCACCCTATCTTCCTCTTCTCTTCCATTAAAGAACAAAATAACCACCGCCACCTCCACTCCACTACCCACATCCACCATTCTGCCACCACCACCTAATCATCCTCACTGTTCATTAACACCACCCTCAATCATTAGTCAAAAGTGTCGATTAGGACACATATTATGAGACTTGCATTTAAAATATCGAGATATTACTAGTCAGACGTTGCCTTTCAAACTATCTACACTGTCGAGAGTTCTAACCTTTTGGCCTCTGAGGTTCTAGGGAACTTTGAATAGGTCGATAGACAGCACATTACCCAAAATTAGGAGTGTTTACCAATCTTATGGATAAGAAATATAATTTGTTGTCTTCTTATTCGATATTTTATGAAATAATTTTTTCTTAATCTACTTTACTCGATCAAGTGTGATATTTCAACCCTATTTCGGGCCAAATTAATTGGATAAGAAATCAGATAAAAAATTAGGTGAATATTTTTATAATTATTAATTTTTGGATCATTTTAATAATTTAATTAAATAACTTACATCAATTTAACAATACAATAAACCAATAACACTAAAATCTAAAACAATTACAATAAAACATGAACATCAATCTATTATAATTGTTACAAAAATATAATAACAATTATTTTAAGTTTAAACCATATAGTTAAGAAATTGGGATTTTTAGTATATATATAGGAATACAAAAATTAATATATATTCCGCATTCTTACCTAATTCAATTGGAAGACCAAAAACTCTTTCCGCATTCCTACTCAATTTTTTTGGCTAACCGTTTAATAAAATCGGTTAGAGTAGAAAATTGCGAGTAATCAATAATTTGAACACCCCTGTCCAAAATAAATCTTTCTAATGCAAGCTTTAGCAATCCAACAAGGCTTCGAATCTGTCCCGCATTGAGGACCGGTACAGAGACCAAGCTTCAAATCAATCTTATATTATGAAAAAAGAATAAATCTCATAGAAGTACATATTGGTAATTCCTTTTTCTAGTTACTGAAAAAAATGAAAGTGTGAATTCAATCATTTGATCATATAAAAATAACAATAAATTGGCAATCAAGGCTTAAGAGAGAGTGCCAATCCGAACTTGGGGCTCTTCTCCATGGCTTTTGTATCAAAAGATCCACAGATTGTCAGGAAGGACTTGGGTTTCAGCTCATGCTGTAATAGAGCCCCAAGATTGCCATGGTTGTTGAGCTTAGCCTTTACCACCGTCCGAGGATCAACAGTATACGAACAGCCAACTGTTAATGTGCTATCATTTGTGGAGAACTTTCTAGTGATCTCACCCACTGCCGCTCCCCTATTCAGATGATCCAGGTGGTGCAAATATGAGGCCCTTAGTGCATCTCCTTTGTCTGCCCTGGAAGAATAAGCCAGACCAGCAACTCAGTAGGAGCACAGTACATTACAAAGCCCTGTCCATTTATTTTTCATGAGGCTATATTCCAAATTAATACATGGTTGAACACGATTTTTTCATTAAGTTCCAAACCAGTTAATAGCCTTGCAACATTGAACTTACAAAATCACGGATGCACAGAAATTGGGCTTAGTCAAGCGCACTCCTGCATTATACTTGGTGAAACTACCGGAGGATACCAAGTAGGTTGCTTCACTGCCGAAGGCAACACTTGGAGTACCAATGGTTGCTGAAAGATCAAGAGCTGGAGACTTGTTCAGACCAACAGCTGTAGTGACACTCCCATGTTCATGGAAATACTGAAATTCAATCTGCAAAAGAAAGCAAACAATAAGGCCAGAGAACTATCCTAGTTGCAAATCATAAATTCAAGACCATGGTCAATCTGCAAGATACCTTGCCAGAGTTGTATTCAGGCAATTTACATGAAACAATGGTCTTGGTAGATGCTGGAACATCTGTGACAGTGAGGGTTGTTGAGATCTGCAAAGCCAAGGAATTGTTCTTAGCAACAAGATATATTATACTGAGAAAGAGAAAGAGAGAGGTCTAAGGAGCTACATTTGATTCTGTATCAATGTTGACATCAACTATGGCATTCTTATATTTGTATTGTGCTGCCACATCACCAGAGGAGAGTCCTCCCTTCTTCATTACAGTTGAAGCAAGGACCTGGAGACATTAGGCACAGGATCAGGTAGGGAAAGAAATAAGCAAGCAAAGCATAGCAATCAATCATTGCAGAGTATGCTCAAACAGTACATCATACAGCAAGGGCAAGCAATACCGTGACATCAAACTAGCAAGTGTATAGCTAACCCAAACTACAGAAGCAAGGCCACCAACTGCCAAGGCCTCAATCAAACAACACTGGCTAGCATTAGAATCTCTGAGCATACGTGGCACCAGTGTTATTTAAGGCGTAAAGCGAACCGAAGCGACCAAGGCTCCTAACGCCTAGGCGAGAAGCGAGAAGCGAAGCGACACGCTTTACCGAAGCAAAGCGAACAGTTAAAAAAAATATATATTTTAGTTTAATTACTTCTAAACAATCTAAGTTCTAATTTTATATATACTAAATATTTAAATGCAAGTAAAACCATAAACATTTAAATTAAAAAAAACACTAATAATATCTCAAATCTTAATAACAGTCATAACTTAAACATTTAAATTCAAACAAATACTAACAATTGTATA